GTGGTACAAAGGCCTACTATCAAACCTTTTTCGAAGTAACCGAACATCGCCTTCTCGAACGCCGCGTTTCCAGTCTGGTATCCATGGGCACGCAAAGCGAACGTGCGAGGAACTTTCCTTCTTTTTGGAACACAACCTTGAGCTCTCTGGGTCTGAACGATAAAGATGTGCCAATGGCTCTGCTGTATGCTGCTGAGCGCCACATAAGCGCCGAAATCACATCAATGTCATCGCCAGGTAGCACACCGCCATTAGATGCATGCGTGCTCAAGGGTACGATTGGTGTTGAGGCTGGCCATCCAATCGCTCCCACGACTATTAATATCAACGAAGATTCGTACCTACTTTATTCCCATATTCGCCGCGCCGCACAGTCCAGAAAAGCTACTGTTGTGCGTCTGGATCAGCTCCCTGGATCCAATGCTGCTTTGAGGGATATCAAATGGAGAGGCTACGGGGAACCCTGTCGCACCATTGTCGTGTGCCCTATCATTCCAACAACTGGCAACCAGGTCGAAGGCTTTCTTATTATTGGCCTCAACCCCCGTAGGCCATTTGATGAAGACTATCAGCAATACCTCCAAGTCATGGTCCGTTTGCTAGCTACTTCGCTAGCCTCAGTTGTCCTTTTTGAAGAAGAGGTTCGGCAACGAGAAAATGCCATTGCCCAGGCTGCACAGATCCAAGAGCAGTTGATGGCTGAGATAAAGTTAGAAGAAGGCAAATTCCAGCGTTTCGCAGAGCGCTCTGACGTTGCCATTTTTATAACAAATTCCGTTGGGGACTACACGTATCGAAACAAGCGCTGGTACGAAATGTTTGAAATTGCCGGGTTCCATACCAATGCCACAGAAGCATGGCACGCTATTGCCTTCGAAGAAGACATAGATTACTGCAAATCAGTGTTTACGAAGCTCGTGGTCGACAATAAACATATCTGTTTCGAGCTACGAACCAGGATGCCATGGTTGCCACCCTCAGAGCTCAGCCAGTCGCAAACCTTAGACACTGAGCACTTTAGGTGGATTCTGTGCTCAGCTTATCCTGAGATTGGACCTAGCGGTGAACTCGTCGAAATAGTAGGAAACGTCATTGATATCTCCAAACAGAAATGGGCCGAAGATCTTCAGAAAATTCGCACCGACAGCGCGCTTCAGGGAAAACAGCATCTCGAGCACTTCATCGACACTACTTCACATGAGATGCGTAATCCCCTGAGTGCAATTATGCAATGTGCAGATTCAATCATATCTTCTTATGCGCAGGATGAATGTCGTGCAATGCCTACAAATGGATGGTCAGCTTTCTTGGAATCTACGTTGGATGCTGCACAAACTATCGCTCAGTGCGCCCAGCACATGAGACACATAGTGGACGACGTTTTGACAATATCCAAGCTCGATTCGGGTCTTCTGGATATGACGCCGGTAGTTGCACAGCCTGAAAATGTAGCAAGACATGCTGTCCGAATGTTCGATGCCGAAGCAAGAGCTGCAGGGATTGATATTTCGTTAGTAGTTGACCAGTCCTACCGTGATATGGAGATTGACTGGACCTCCTTGGATCCAACAAGGGTGCTGCAAATTCTCATCAATCTTCTCACTAACGCTATTAAGTTCACACGTCTTGAGAAGACCAAATCAGTCAAAATGACGCTTTCTGCTAGCGTAACAGAGCCAACCTCAAGTCCTGGAGGGATTCAATTCAACGAAGAGAAACTAGTGGACCACGACCAACGCCTTGAAGATGACTGGAAGCACGCTCAAGATCTCATATACCTGCAGTTTTCTGTCACCGACACTGGTCGCGGTCTTTCAGAAGACGAAAAGGGAACTTTGTTTACTCGCTTCTCACAAGCTTCTCCTCGCACTCACATCAACTATGGAGGTTCTGGCCTGGGCCTATTCATATCGCGACGCTTGACCGAGCTGCAGGGCGGTGCCATTGGTCTTTCAAGTCAATCTGGCAAAGGCAGTACCTTCTCCTTCTACATCAAAACAAGGCGAACGAAGCCTAGTACAAAGAGAAACGGAAGCTTACCACATGTGTTCCCCGAAGATGTAAGACATCGACCTCTAGTAAACCTAGCAAGACCAACAGCTCCCTTACGCTCCCTCACCACCGAAGACGCGCGGATAGCAAGACCACCTCATGCAACTATCCGACGCTCATCCGCAAACTCCCAGCAACCCCTTTCAACACGCTCCCACACTGACTCCGAAGCCCTCCCTTTATCTCAAAAACCCCACCCACAAGACCCCAAGCCCCTAACAAAACCCACCCCACAACACCTCCACGTCCTCATCGTCGAAGACAACCTCGTCAACCAGCGCGTCCTCGCCAAGCAACTCCGCGCCCTCAATTGCACCATCAGCGTCGCAAACCACGGCAAAGAAGCCCTAGACTTCCTCCCGAAAACCACTCTCTGGAACCACACGCACCCACTCTCTTCCTCGCTTTCCCGCAAAGAAAAATACCACGTCCCCTCCACCGAACCCATGCCCCTCGGCTACGACGACGACATCCCCGCCATCCCGCTCAACCTCATTCTCATGGATTGGGAAATGCCCGTTATGAATGGGTTGAAGGCTGTAGCTGAGATTAGGAGGCTGGAGAAAGAGGGCTTGTTGAGGGGGAGAGTACCGGTTATTGGGGTTACGGCGAATGTGAGGGAGCAGCAGATCAGGACGGCGGTCGAGGCGGGTATGGATGATGTTGTCGGGAAGCCGTTTCGCGTTGCGGAGTTGTTGGGAAGGATGCGGGATGTTGTTGCGGGGAGAGGTGCAGGGGAGGAGGAGGAGGGGGAGGAGACGGAGGGATATGAGAGTTTTGGGTGAGAGAGTTGAGGTGGTAAAAGTGCTTTTGCCTGATCGTCTCGTTTGACTGGGTCTTAAACTGTGAAAGTATTTTATCTGGCGTTATTTGGCGGGCAAAGCACGTTTCGTTTCAATCACGTTACCATGTAGTCACTTTGAGCGATTCATTCCCTTCTGTGCATATCCAGTATTTGGTGTTTGGTAAGTTTATATCCTTTATGGCAGCACACGAATGGCACTTGAGTGCAAACCATTCTTTACAATTCAATTTCACTCTTTTCTTAACCTTTAAGGTAGCAGAAATGCGTCTAAGGGACTATAGCAATGCTAGTATCTTTTTGTTTGAATCTTTCGGAAGAAGAGATGAGAACGACAATTCAAAATGTTGGATTGTTATGGAACTATCGATACGTGGTATATGTAACAACCACTCAACGCTCTGAAATAGCCCTTGCATACTACTCTCCATGCTAGCCCCGCTATTGGTTGCCTGTGGATAAGGGTGGATTCCGAGCCCATTGGACACGATCCCCGGGTCTACCCCGTTGAATGTTCGACAATTCTCGAGACGAAACTCCTGGCATGCCTGTATACGAAGGTATATCCTGTTTTTCGTCTTGGACGTCTACAATGTTGATCATGTTCACTTCCTCGACGGAGATGTTGGGCAAAGTGCTATCGGATTGCTCGATGACCTCGACTACTGTGCCGTTGGATAGCGTGACAGAGGTTTTTTTTGGTTTCTCAGGCTGAGGTTTGGGTGAAATGGGAAGGACTTGCTCAGACGGAGAAAATTGGTGTAATCCGTGGCCGTGGTTGGCTGTGAAGAGGTTTTTCATGCGTGTGAGCATAGGTACTACTCCCTCAACCTGAACAGCGCCAGCTGTGACGGCGCCAGTGCCGGTTGTGACTGCTACTCCGGCTAGTTCGATGCCTATGTCTGCAATCTTCAAGGCGACATTCTCAACAAAACGATGCTGGAACGTAGGTGGTCAGCGCAATCGATTTTTCTGAATAGTGTGATCGCTCATACTTGGTACATCTTTCGCTCTCGACCAGCGATTGCGGGCGGGTGGTATACGATCCATCTGAATGTTTGCTTGTTGTTTTGCCCATAATGAAATTTTTCATTGAGCTGCAATAAGGCCCAGTTTCCTGCAAACATCAGTGAAGTTCGTCCCTATGACTCGTCATCTTCGTACTTGCAAGGTCGTTTTCGTGGTATTTTTTCCTCATTATGTCCATAAGATGTAGGTTCAGCAGATGCGGTGCGCCCTGCATCCTACTTTCGATGTATTCTGAAGCAATGAATATAAGGGTTTCTCCTGCACAGAAATGTTAGGATGATGGATGAAGGTAAGAACATTGTTTTGTGGCTATTCACCCTTTGGAGCCAGACCCTTGCCGTAAGCAGACTCACTGTCAGTACTGTCTACTCTTTCGCCAAACCAACATTTATCAACATAGTATCTGGCCCGCTGCTGTGTCTTGTCGCTCCACCACTCGATCTCTACGGGAGAGACCTGCTCTAGAGGAAAGGTGATCCAGTCACCGTATCTTGGTATGATAGCCATGGTAATGAGCACTGATGGTAAGAATGATGTCAGTGGACAAAGATATGTGCTATTAGAGAGATGAATCCAGTACAAAAATGGAGCATTTAGGAAGTTGTTTCATTGATGTATTTCTTGACGAGATGTTGTGGCTTGCGCAACGGGCTATGATTGTTCGGCTGGTCTGTCTCTCATTTGGAAGAGACGTTCTCGATTTCTCGCGTACCTCCGAACCGAGGATATTCAAATTGCCCAGATGGTAAGCTAAAGCAAATGGCGCGCATAGACTGTGTTCTCTTTCGGAAATGAGGCTTGTCAGTTCGGCTTTGCCGTTCCTTGTACTGAGCTGAGAGAGCACCCGGTGCGAATGAGCAGCTGAAAACACCAATAGCTCGCCGTGGCGGCCTGTCTATGTTTTGACAACGGACCGATACTTTGACAACGGACCGTTCCATTGTTGTTAGTGCCATGAGGTCTAGATTGAGGGGTGCAGCCTAAAGCAGCTACTTTGACAGCCACAAGCGAGGCGCTTGATCTCGTTTTGGATCTGACAGCACCACGTTCGGACAATCATTACCTTGACCGTCCACACTTAACTCATCTCGACAAGACATCCGGTATCGCCAGGGTTTCATTGAATATCCAAGCTATGACTACTGGTTAGCGCTACATATTCTGCAAGCTTAGAGTAAGGAGCTAGTATCAGCTGGACGACCAGGCCAGACTCGCACAATCGTGCAAAATCTTTTACAGATACGCCAGCATCTGTGCCCAGGCCCAAATCCAATATTGTTTGTTCGACTGTCGCTTGCAGATTGCCGATTCGGTCCATACACGCCTTCGACATCTGGTGGATTTCCTCCAGATTGGTTCCCTTTACCTCCTCGGTGCGTTGCCGTAGGGTATCATAGCCGTTGAATGATATGGAGTGATCTGAAGATACCTCTTTCGATGATGTTGTAGTGCTGATGGTCTTCTTCATCCAGAGTACCTTGGCAGTGGCCTGAACTTGCACCTGCTTTTCTTCAGACTGATCTGATTGCGTGACAGTCACACATCCTCCCACTTCAGCTCCAATCTGGTATCCAGCAACATAATAGTCCCCAAAAATGCTGCGAAATTCCTTCTCCGACTTGCATAAGACGTTTCGAGCGTAAGGTGTCAGTCCCGGATCAGCTTTGAAGCGGATATGCCCGGCTCGAATACTGATGTTCTTGGAGACTCATGTTGCCTATCATACGTTAATACAAATCAATTGCGAGTTTTCTGGTCTCCAAATACAGCAAGATTGTCCGACACTGATTTATCATATGAACCGGCGACACTGGCGCTGAGGAACTTGCAACCCACAGTTACTCCAAGACTAGCACTGAGGTGCTCTGAATGCTGGGCTGACGAAGAACTGTTTCCTTCTCGGTAACTTGAAACTGCCCCATCAATCTCTACAATGCATTTTGCGTTGTCAATCATATATGGATATTTCGATACCCAGGGCGAACTGTCAGATTCAATAGCAGCTGAATTGAAGCCTGATCCGATCGCAATATAATCCTTGGACCAAGGCAGATACAGAGGGAGGCTTTGGGATGCAAGGTTTTGGAGACTGTTCATTCTGAGGTTGTGCAGGCGGTGATATCGCGTCTCGACAAGGAAGTATTTGGGGCTATAAGCCAGACTTCAAGTCCCGACCATTGTATCAGCGGCAAAGGAGGATCTGGCCATTCAACCGACACAGATTCCAGAACACGATTTCTATTTGCGGCCTGGTGCAAAGGCAACCCGAGTGGCACCATGGCGTTTTGTGGCGTCTGGCGGCTACACTAGCGTTCGGGTACCCCATTCGAACAAAATCCATAATGACCAAGAGATTGTTCACACATAAATACAGGATGGAGTCAGTATCTAGATTTGTACCAGCACTTCTCACTGCATTCTATCTTGTCAAGAAGCCATCAAGCTTATTATTGTTATCTCATCCTTGCTCATTACACGTTAGCCACCATGGCGATGCTTCTTGCGCCTTACAACAACTCCATGCGCCTGGGACAAGGTTTCAATTCATTCACACAGCAGATATGTATGACTGATGCAGTCACTCAGGGCACCCACGATGTCCCTTCCCCGTACTCGGAAGATCAGCAGCCTAAGGGGATCAGTCAAATTGTTTCGTACTCATCTCGCTTCGTTGATAAGCTCAGCGATGTGACTGATTTGATGAATGTATCCGCTTCCTTGTCCATAAAAACAGGAACAATAGGTGGAGCCGTTAGCGGAACGTACATTGACTCTGATAAGTTCAAGGCCAGCGATCTTAACTTCTTCATCCAAGTCAAGGTGACGAACCAAACACATATGGCGCGCGACTATACACAGTTCCAGAAACTAAAAAGTTTCCCACTTACTAGATTCACTGAGATATATGGTGTAAGTATTTAAGATAGACGCCTGTCTGGTTCTCGGCTAAGGATTGGTAGCTGACACGAGGCCTAGGATTCATTCATATCTGGATGGGAGGAAGGTGGAGAACTCAATGCACTCATATCAGTCAAAGTAAACGATAAATCCAAGATAACCACGATCAAAGGTGCATTAGAAGCAGAGCTAGGAACACCGGCTTTGTCTGGTGCGATCAAAGGCGAGGGCAATTTGGACAAGAGCGCCACTGACACATCAACGGAAACAACAATAAGTAAGATATATTATTGGCTTCAGAATCACATCTACTAACACAATTCAAGATGTCAACTGGAGCGGTGGTGGCCAAATCAAGGACCCAAACGTCATTTGGGACATCAACAGTCTTACTCTCGCCGCGGCGAATTTTCCAGATCTTGTCGCAATGACACCACAACGCACTTATGCGATTTTGACAAAGTACACATCTCTGAAAAGTTTCCATGATACAATGGGCTTCTTTTCCCCACTTGGTATGTACATATACCATGGCTTTGAACAAATGTTATACGAGCAAGCTGCTGATTTTGCTAGACTATGAAAACGCTGGTATCTATACGGGCGCGCTTTTGGATGCTTACATGGATTACAAATCAATCTGGAAGCATATTCAGATCCTGAACTGGAAATTCGAATCTGGAACTACTGAATTATTCAAATCTGAGCCCACCCAGGAGCTCCTAACCTACGCCAAAGAGTGCACCAAAGAGCGCGAGTCTGTACCTAAGCCTGCTAATCAAGACACGACATTAACCCATACCATTGACGAGCATCTAGAGGGCTCCGAGCATTCGTCGGACCTGCAATCCAAAAAGCATACTTTCAAGCCGAACGTCTTGCTGTGTGAACCCTACAGTCCTTCGATTGTAGGGTTGAGCAAGGCCAGACGCGATTGTCGGCTCGAGATGACGAAAATCGTTCACGAAGTTAGTTTCGATGGTGTAAATTGGTTTAAGAAATGCTAAAACTTGCTACAGGTTGATGCCGTCACAGCGGATCCAAGCATTGCACTTCAGCCAGATCGTGTAGGCATCTACTTGGCCCCTTCGATCTTCAGGCAATTGCTTCCTGTAAGCCATCCTCTTGACACTTTCATCAATCTTCTTACTGGAACTAGGTAAATAAGTCACCCCAAAGAAGCACTGGAAAGGTTACTCCAACTCTACCATCGATTTATCCTGAGTTTGATGAGCTCAGAGCCAGCATATCCAAACACGCTTCTCGCTACAAGCAATTCCGACTTTCAGGATATCTGGGCGATGACCTACCCAAGCCCGGAAGCGTATTCTTCAACAGCCTCGATATTCTCGAGGATACATGGATGCCAAAAAGTATCACCATCTACTCTGACGACTACCACCTCTTCGGCATCAAAACCATATACAATGATGGAAGAGAGATCCTTAATGGCGACGACAAGGGCCTTCAACCCACAACGGTGGATCTGGTCGCACACGAAAAGATCGACGGTGTCAAGATTGAGAGCCACAGCAGCTTAGGCATGAACAGTATCGCATACATTGATTCTGTGACTATTTCATCAACTGTTCCGGGTCAACCTGGTCCAACTATTAACGAACGCACAATTACACCGTCAAAACAATCTGGATCTTATGTGCATAGCAGAGATGAGAAATCACCTGCAGAAGGCTGGAATCTGCGGGGCTTCTACGGTTCGTACAGCCCCGGCGCGGGAATCCAGCAGCTCGGTCTAGTCTGGGGGAAGAGTGCGTAGAAAGGAAGATGAGAGGAAAAAGGTCATATGTATGCAATTGCTACGCAAAGGTTACCTATGAGAAACTTAGCCAACCAATCAAACCACATGACCCTCTTTGATCAGAAAAGCAAGCAAAGCGGGCAGACTTTGTCAGTGACAGACGTTGGGGAGCGGCTAACAGCTAGCCAGCAACTAGCGTTTTGGCACGGAGCCTCTTCTTTCTTAGTGCAATCGGGACGTCTGGCGCGCTCTTCCAACTGACCGACCGCTACAGTTTTCACGTCGTTGTGACAGGTGGTTAGCGGAGATTAACGGATTAAGATTGCACGGGGTGCAACTTCACTCATCCCATCTACGGGTAAAAAATAAACGGCGCTCGCAATCAAGCTATGGAGGGAAAACCCGACCAAAGCAAATGCAGGCTTGACGCGTGGGTAGTCGATTATTTTTCTTCTAATGCATATCCTTAGCTCGACATAAACTTGTTATTTTGTGAACGCGTCGACCAGATAGACACGATATGTTTGTATCGGTCGGACCAAGCCCAGGCCGTGTGCCGCTTAGGTGCATCAAGCATGCGGGTCGCGTAGGCTTAAACACTGCAGCCAACCAATCGCCCACGCCAGTCCTTGTCGCATCGCCCACGCACGTCTCCACTACGCTTGTCCTCTTTCCCCGACTTCCATGATACGCCTTCGTTCGCCCCGTTCGCGGCATTGCAATTGGAGGGAGCCGACGCTTTAGCCCTCGAGTTTGAAAAGTGGGATTGCATGGAAGCGGGTTTATGGGCGCCTTTTTGCCGAGAAGCGTCATGGAGATTGGAAGGATCGACGGCGTGGAGTTGGGGGGTAGGCGTGTTACTTACTAGGGCGCCCTTTGCCTTGTTTCCAAACAGCCGCATTCATAAACATGACCTGGCCGGCCTGATCTGCTCTCTTACTTCGTTCTTGTTCACGCACCCTTCGTTCGTTCCAAACACTACAGTCGTTTGCTTTTTTTGTCGACTACTACTCTCGCTTATACTTTTACGGAGCTCATGTGCAATCTTGTGTCTCGCACGTAACGTAACAGTAGTTCGTGAGCCCAGTGCGTTTGCTGCTGAATAATTTCTTTTTGAGCAGGGACTTGAGCTGTTTCGTTGCTTGATCTTCAGTTGTTACCAGAGAAACACTTGAAAACGTTTGGATTGCTGGACTGCAATAATGGTTCAATCTCTATCGCTGGCGCTCTTGGCCAGCTTGAGCACTGTCGCTTCAGCTATCCCGACAATCGAAGTAAAGGGCTCCAAGCTCTTCACTAGCGAAGGCAATCAATTCTACGTCAAGGGTACATATGCGATTCTGCAGTAAGACGAAGTTAAAGAAGCATGGTTTTCTAACGACCCAGTATAGGTATCGCATACCAGCTTGTCCCAGACGATCCGCTCATCGACGCGACGCAATGTGGTCTCGACTCTGCCCTCATGAAGACCATTGGCGCAAACTCAATCCGTGTTTACCACGTTGACCCTGATGCTGACCATACCGATTGCATGAAGGCCTTTGCAGATGCTGGAAGTACGTATATTCAAAATATGCATGAACTCAGATTACTTTGATTATTGCATGCCGATTTTATTCTTCAAGAGCGTAAATATCGCATAACAAGAAATCTTTGTTCCCTAGTCACTTTCAAAAAATGAATACTCACCAGTCACATAGTTTACATCTGGGTAGATCTCGACACCTTCGACACATATGTCGAGCAAAACACACCTCGATGGGAGTCAGACCAACACGACGCCTACGCCAAAGTAATGGACGAATTCCATCAATACGACAACGTTGCCGGTTTCTTCGTCGGCAACGAAGCCATCACCACCTCAAACGGCTCCGTCACATCCCCCTACATCAAAGCCGCCGCACGTGACATGAAAGCCTATCGCGACAAAAAAGGATACCGCAACATCCCCATCGGCTACTCCGCCGCTGACATCGCTTCTCTACGGCCCATGCTACAAGATTACCTCTCCTGCGGCAACAACGCCTCAGAGCGCGTCGATTTCTTTGCCCTCAACGCTTACTCCTGGTGCGGTGACAGCTCCTACCAGCAATCTGGATACGACAACCTCGAAAAGAACGCAAAGGACCTCCCCGTCCCCATCTTCATGTCTGAAACAGGCTGCAACACTGTGCGCCCGCGCGACTTCAAAGACCAGGAGGCGCTATTTGGTGAGATGGCGGATGTATGGTCCGGCAGTATCATATACGAGTGGATCGAGGAACAGAATAACTACGGACTGATTAGTTACGGACCCAAGGTTGATCCGGCGAGTCCGAATGCGCCGCCAGATGGATTTCCTCGCTCTGGTATGTTTTGAGAAATATGATTTACAAGATGTTTCAAAAACAGCCGACTAATCACTGAGAAAATAGGCAAACCCACACCCGTCCAACCAGACTTCCCCAACCTCTCAGCAGTTTGGAAAACCCTGAATCCCACGGGAATCAAGGCTTCGGACTACAAGCCAACTCACACTTCTATTGCCTGCCCAGCTTTCACTGAAGGAGCATGGGAAGTGGTCCCTACATCCGCTCTTCCTACCATAGGTCAGAAACACAATTACGACAGCTCTCCTACATCCGGTGGTTCCAGCGCCACGCAGACTTCTGGTTCTGGAGCAAAGCAATCGGGTTCTGGATCTGGTACTGCGGATACGTCTGCACCACAGCCTACTGCTGCCGCGGCAGATGGATTGAGCAAGGAACTCAAGAGCACAGGTGCTATGCTGCTCGGTGTTCTGATCGTATTTGCTTGGTTGTGAAAGTCATTCCCCTCTCTTTTTTTTCGCTTTCTCTCGCTGAAAAGCAGCTGAGGTTTGAATTATCATCACTCACACATTCTGCATGTACATAGTTTCTAGTCTACTTACTTGATTAGGTATGGTATATGGTACATGGTACATGGGGCAGAATTTAACGAGGACATAACGGACTTTAATGTATATGAATACCCCGCTTAGGATCGGGCTGAAAATACAAAAAAACTTGCTCCAACTTGCCTTGCGTTTGCTCAGCGGCACATGTCATTTCATACGGCATCAACTCAGTCACTAACGGTAGGTCATGGTGCACAAATACTCAAAATCAGAGAAGCAGTCAAGCAATGTGGGAACAAGGTTCGTATTGAAGGATTGGGCGCCAACTAAGTACGACCCGATCGCCAGCACAGGGCTTTCCCCCATACCCGAAGACAAGTATGGATATCTTTCCCTCATAAGCGCACAGCATTGATCATATCCTTCAACACACCCCTGTCCCATCAAGCATGCATTTCTTGTTGATCGTTGTCAAATGGTCTCATATTTCCTTTTTTCCCATTGCCTACTCCTACGCCGACGTGCCATTGTTTGTTCAAAGACAGGGTATGTAAGAGAAGAAGTGACGAAGATGCTCAACATAGCATTTACCACTGAGTAGTGGTAGTGGGGGCAGCAGTCTCGGCACCCCAGCCCTCGCCGCTAGCCTGGGCGTCGCCAGAGGCGGCCCAGTCAGCAGCGTCAGCGTCCCAGCTGGTGCCGGGGGCAGCAGCCTGGGCAGTGAAAGCACCGGCGGATGCGCCAGAGACCTCCCACTCGCTGGTGAAGCCGTCAGCGACAGCGGCGGGACCAACCTCGTCGGCACCGGGGACCTTGGCCTCCTCAACGCCAGCGCTGTCCTTGTTCTCCTCGGCCTCAGGGTCGCGGTAGAAGTACAAGTCAGTCATGACATCCCACTCAGTCTCGCGGTTAGCGAGGGTACCGCGGAGGCGGAGGACCTCACGGGCAAGCATCCACCAGACGAGACCGATGGCGTGACGACCCTTGTTGTTGGTGGGGATGGCAACATCGACATACTCGGTGGGAGAGTCACCGTCGCAAAGGGCCTATTCGGGGTTAGCTCCAGATTCCTGTACTCTTCTTCATACGCATTCTCCTTACAATGACGGGGATGTTGACGTAGGAGGCCTCCTTGATAGCCTGGGCATCGGTGCGGGGGTCGGTGACGACGATCAAGCGGGGCTCCCTGAAAGAACGGGTGATGTAGTTGGTGAAGTTACCGGGAGTGAAACGACCAGCGATGGCGGTGGCGCCGGTGTGGGAGGCGAACTTGAGAACGGCACGCTGTCCGTAGGGACGGGCAGAGATGACACAGACTGCGCAGTGTCAGCTAAAGAAGAACTTGGGCATATTTGCGCATTCTTCAAGTCCAAATCTCTTGACTTGGGCGCTCAAACGTACCATCAGCCGGGTTGTCGATGGCGACAATGATGCGGGCGGCCAGAACAATCTTCTCCCAGGTCTTGCCAATGTTCAAGACGTTGACACCGTCGGGCCTGGTCTTCCACAGGTAAGGCTCCATGTGCACCTGGAGGTTCTTGCTACCGAGGTGGCATTGGGCAGCGAGGAGCATCTCAATGTCCTGCTGGGTGGGGTTGAAGATGGCGGGGAGGTTGGAAGGGGCCATTTTGACGGTTTGGCGCTGTACAAGCTGGTGGGTATAGAGAAGTTGTCGTGATGCGTGCGGGCGAAGTTTTGGCACACGAACTTTGGCGATATTCGAGCCCCGGCAGTGGGCGAGCTAGAGCCGGAAGCGGCATAGTGCCCAACGGGACGCGGCGCCGGCGAAACCAATGCGCCGACGTCCTGATCCGCAAAAGATTCACGGTGGGTGGGAGCAGTGAGTGTGCGTCCAGCCAACGATGCCGCCACGAATACCAGCATTGTCGTGCCTACGGGCATCGGCTTGTGAGTTCTTAGATCTCATGTACAATACCCAGTGCTGACAATGCCACAGCACCATCCATTTCTGCGCAATTCACACTCCCCATCCGAACTTTTGTTTCGACAGCGCGGGCCAATGCCGAATCAATCGAACGACAGAAGAAGCGCCTCGCTAGCGACCCCTACATAGTTGCGCAGCGCAACCGCAAAAAGGCAGCCAACCTGTCTCGACGTGCCGAACTCGAACAAGCCCGGGTAGCCAGTCTTGGAAATCCTGTTCGCGGTATACCAACACCATTCGTGGAGTCTTTTGACACTGGCAAGCCCATTACCTACGAGGATGGCAAGAAAATTCCCCAGGATCGGACGCATCTCAACTATGCATTCGACCCGGCGACGGTGGAGAAGCAATTGAAGAAGAGCGAGAAGCTGGCTGTGCCATTGAGTGAAATTGCAAAGCAAGCTGCACCTGCTGCGTACCCATGGAACGACGCCACGCGGTATGATCAGGCAAGGGCGATTGAAAAGTCGGCGGCGGAAATAGAGGAGCAAAACAAGAAAGACCATGCACGTGCAGTCGAGGCAATTAAGCGAATCACGGCCCTCGAGAATGGCTCCAGCAAAGACCGCATGCGCGTCAACATTGCACGATGTGTCGAGACGTTTGGACGCCACAATACCGACAGGATATTCCCACCAAAAGCGCCATCGCTGAGCCGCTCAGGCGTAGACGAGACTCACGTCGTCCGCCCAGAAACAAACGTTGCCGCGACAGCCAAGCGAGTGGGGCCAGACACCGGATCTTCCGAAGTTCAGATTGCTATCCTGACGGCCAAGATCAAGACACTAGCGGACTTTCTACAGACACGAGGAAAAGGTGATAAGCATAACAAGCGAAATCTGCGGTTGCTGGTGCACAGGAGACAGAAGCTTCTGCAGTACTTGAGGAGGAAGGAGCGAGGTGGCCCAAGATGGCAACATTGCATTGAGACTCTGGGTCTGACCGAAGGCACATGGAAGGGTGAGATTTCGTTGTAAGAGTATGAAGCAAGACCCGGGTAGCGGCGCTGGCACTATCGCGTCCATGACGAATGTTAAACTAGTCCACGGCCATACGGGCTGTAAGGGCTACTATAGCCCCTGTATACTACGATTCCAGGCATTGGCTATTGTGAGACATAAATGTGACAGGCCCCATATACGACATGTACCTAATCTCTTAGCGTGCTTCTGCTATACGCCGCAGTCCACTCTCCGCGTGTCGTCTCTGCTTGTCCTTATCCCCACATCGCGATCTGAACATCGCATTCCGAACATCAAGAAAAGGGCGGTACCGCCAAAAAGAGCGCAACGCAATGCAACGCCAACATCAACGCCAACGCCAATGACAACGCCGGCACTAGCACGGCCAAACCTGGTACCCATACATAACATCTGCATACCAAAGTTACGAACTTGCATGCCAACAAAAAACACACATATATATATAGTAAAAAGACAACCACCCCCCCATCTCCCACATTCCTAATCTAAACATCTAAACACACTCCTCTGTACAATGTCCAACAAATACCCCAACCCATGGCGCAGCCCGCGCCTGCACTACCGCGCCATCCGCCCCTGCGACAAATCCATCTTCCTCGCCCTCGCCGCAGACCCAGCCATGTACATGGCCAGCACGCACGCGACCCTCAAATTGCCCACGGAACAAGACGCCTCTGAAAACATGCATCAGGGCGCCTCTGACCGCAGCTCTGGCGAAGAAGAAAGCCTCTTACAAGCCATAATCTGGCGGCCGCACGACACGCCGATTGCGTCGCTGGCGGCGGAGCAAAAAGAAGCGGTGCTGGAGGAAATGAAGAGGCAGAATCCCGGGGAGATTCTGGATCCCGAGTTTGGGGTTGCGGTGGGGCAGATTTATTCTGCGCCGGTGTCGCTGCATGAGGCGCATCATCGGACTATGGAGATTGGGCTGGACATTTTGCCCGCGTACCAGGGGAAGGGGTATGGGAGTGAAGCGATTAATTGGGCGTTGGACTTTGGGTTTCGGAGGGCCGGGCTGCATACTGTGCGGTTGAGGGCGTTTGGGTGGAATAAGGGGGCGATACGGTTGTATGAGCGGCTGGGGTTTGTGGTGGAGGGGAGGGAGAGGGAGGCTGTGTGGTTTGAGGGGGAGTGGTGGGATTCGTTTACGCTGGGGATGCTGGATAGGGAGTGGTATGCGAGGGAGGAGGGGAAAAAAGAAGAAGCATAGTTTGGGCATGTGGAATAAGGAAGAGTAACTATGTATATCTACCTACTTGGCCATAGACATTAGAATATACCATGTTGCATGCCAGCAATGCCTGTATCCCGAATCACCATTGAGGATTCGTTGCCTCGCTTCGCGGCCGCGTCGTATAGGGCCTGGATATCTTGTCTCCACATTGTCTCATTCATCCTAATTACCTTTCGGTCATACGTCATCATGCCATTGACTTCACCCTCGACATCTGTCGTTTGCGTCCAGACACCACCTGAGCAAGCAAATAAGTCGATTTGCTCACGCAGTTGCACAAGCAGGTCGTGGCAACGATAGTTCCACCAAATGGTACCATTGGTAAGCTCGTATGCGGTTTGTCGACCGAGATCCTTGTACCATGCGTGCTCAAAGTTATTCTCGGTGAGCTGGGTGCCGATGCCGCCAAATTCGCCTTGCAGACCGATGCGGGCGGGGTCGTAAGCCGAGTCGTAGCCGCTGCCTTGGTAAGACCAAAACGGTGTTCCGCATTGGGGTGTCGAGTAATGATGGTTGTCGTCAAAGTCGCCAGCCATGTGGTCGGTCCAACCACTCACAGAGTTGACAAGGCGAGTAGGGTCAACCCGACGCACCATGTCTGTCAACCCAAACTCTGGCCATGGGGGTGAAGTGGCCTGACCCCATTCCTCATTGTAGATGGTCCAGGCGATGATACTGGGGTACGACTTCAGCTGCTCAACCATGACCTCAAGTTGGCGATCGAATTCAGGCTGAGCACCTGGCTCTAACCGTATGCCTCCACAGCCTTCACGGGCAGGTAAATCGGGGCGCAAAGAAGGCATGTCTTGAATGACCAACATGCCCATCTCGTCACAAGCCCTGTAAAACAGAGCCGGCTCGACTTTGATATGCTTTCGGACCATGTTGTAGCCGACATTCTTTAGTACCTTGAGATCGTACACCATGGCTTCTACACTTGGAGGTGTGTATATGCCGTCTGGCCAATAGCCTTGATCCAGAGTGCCAAATGGAAAGACAAACTTTCCATTAAGGAGTGGGCGCTGCACACCGCCGATTACGCCTCTAGAGATGGTTCTGAATCCGGTATAGCTCTGCACTGTATCACTACCCATTTTGATGGTGATGTTGTACAGGGTCGGACTATCCGGCGTCCACAGCTCAGGTGAATCAACGACAAAGGTAAATGGGCTTCCACTAGTACCCGTAGCCTCTGCCTTGACATCATCCGAATTAACTTCGTGGACAACGATAGTGTATGTGGTTGTCGAATTAGTGCTAGTATGCACAGTGACGACGACTGATGAATGTAAGTAACAAGACAGCAGCACCATGAACAGATGACTGACCCTTTCCATCCATATGAGCAGTGAGATCGAGTTTCGAAATGTGATCCTTGGGTGCGGACTCGAGCCACACTGTCTGCCATATGCCACTGCAGGGCGTATACCAGATCATTCCACCACGGTTCAGAGTCTGCTTTCCAATTGGGATTTGAACGCGGTCCATGTCAGTTGGATCATAGACGTATACCAAACTACAAAACGATTAGTTTTCTTCTTATAATTTCTCGCTTCTCATGCACTTACAGCTCGTTTGTTCCATTGGCATTCAGATACGAAGTGACATCAACGCTGAACTCGAAATAACCACCTCTGTGAAATCCTGCCTTTTGGCCATTGACGAAGATGGTGGCTTCGTAATCAACGGCACCAAAGTTCAAAACGACACTGTTTCCGCTTGGCCAAGTTGATGGAACTTCAAACGATGTCGAATACCAGCTCCAGATGCGGTCCTTCTCAGTCACACCTATGCTGACTTCAGCAACTGGTCTCGTGTATGATTTGGCGCTACTCACCCGACAAAGCACTCTCCAAGCAGAATGGGACCAGGACGGCTTTTTCAAGTCGCTGCTCGAATGGCGGTGAGGCATCAGAGCCGTTTTGGGTGTTCTGGTATCGCCAGACGCCATTGAGGTTCTTCCAGTCTGGTCGTTGAAGGCGTGGACGTGGGTACTCAGGCCAGGGGTTGGTTCCCACGGTATCAGTCCATTCAGTTTTGAGTGGAGTAAATCCAATTTTGTAGTCCGTGTTGTTGTTTTGGCGCGGAACGACCTTGTTATTGTTGGAAGCAATGGTCGTCCACGTCAGCAAGCTCGCTATGATTCCGGTGGAGAGCCGCATCTTGGTGGGAAGAGACGCTATGACACAGCGCCTATACGCGTATCCAAGAAAGCATGAGAAGAGTCGAATGAAGGGAGATGGAGGTGGTATTTAAGCGGTCTACAGACTCATGACAGCATAGCTCCACTGTACCTGGTGTAATGGCCGTGCAGCTGCATGCTAAATGCCTTGGCTCTGGGGATACTAGCGGCGGGATGATCCTGGTGGCTGGGCGCCCCGGTCAGCCATAGCAAAACCGCATCCGCTGGGCGTAAATCTACAAAGGTTGCGGTTGTCATATGGCAGCACCGGCTGACCATGGTA